CATAGTCTCTGAGGGTAGGGACTGCTCCATTTTTGTCTCTGCATCTTCAGTGCACTTCGTGATCCAGGCCTCCTTTCTGTCCTTGCACACAACACCCATTTCCCAACTGCAGACATTTCCCCTGGCTGGCCTCCACGCCTGGAAAGTTCTCTTTCCTTATCTCCACCTCCCGGTTTCCTCCAGGTACCACTACAGTGCTGGCTTGTACAGGGATCCCTCTTCATTCTGGTACTTTCTCTCCATGGCTTATTTTGTGCACAGTGACCATTGGACTATGAGCTCTTTGAGAGCTGGGATTTTCACCTTCCTCTCTATGCTCAGCGCTTACCACAGTGCCTGACACATAGTAGGTGGTAGTAAATCTCATTACTTTGAATTGCTAGGCATTCAGTAACTAATTAGGAAGGCCTGGGTGACGTCTGAGAGAGGATGGCCGTCTTTGTTGGGCAAGTGATGTGGTGGACGTCCGAGCTATGCTGCAATCATAGGTTACCTTGGGAGAGGAGGAAATGAATGGAAGCTTCATTGCCTCTGGTTTCCTTTCAGGCAGTCTCTCTCTCCAAGACAGTGGAGGGGTGGTTTGTATGGGCTGAAGTAGGATCAAGTGTTTTAGGTCAAGGGTGGGCCCAGTGTGAGAAGTCTAGGCTGGACAGATTATTATGACGATCATGTGATAGGATCCCCCACACTTCTCTCTCTTGCACCAGTGAAGGACCATCCACCAAATGGCTCCAGTATTTACACGTCCCAGTTCCTAACACCCAAGGACGGCTTAGTGTACCTGTCAGCTGGACGGTCACAGAAAACTCCAGCCACGTGGGCCTTTGTCACCAACACAGAGGCTCCAAACCCCTGCCTGAGTTGTCGATTCAAGAGGTCTTTAGAGAAGGCTCAGGGCAGTTGATTCCTCTGTCCAAGTCTCATAAAAATGTGATATGTAAATTACATAAGGAAATTATATGAGTATTTTAGAAGTGCAAGACCCATTTCTTCAGAGATAGATAGGTATTTCTAAAAAGAGCAGCCCAAATTATCAACAAGCACCTGAAATAAATTTCAATTTATCTGATAATCAAAGAAATACTTTGATTTCAAATAAAATCAAAGAAATTAAAACTCAGAAATAAAACTTTACTTCTATTAGTAGTAGTAAACTTATGTGTAGCAAGTGTACTGAGACTTATAAAGCACTTTCATATTCTTGGTGTTGAAAGGGACCTCAGACTCCATTCATTCCACCCCTATCTGAACACAAATATTCCCTACAACAGATCTGACTAGTGGTGATCCAGCTTTTGGCTGAAGACCTCCTGTGAACTCTAGGGTTTCAACTCACATGCATCAGGTATGAAAGGATGTCAAAAGATACATTTGCAAATGTTGGAGTGGCTATGGGAAAGACAGTCTCACTAAGGACCCATTAATGGAGCTGTGAACTATTTCAATTATTCTGGAAAACAATTTGGAATTATACTAAGAAAGTCACTAAACTCTATATAACCTTTAACCCCAAAGAGGTCATGGACAGAGGAAAATGTTCCATGCATACAAAAAATTCATGATACTTTTGTGGTGTCCAAGAACTAGAAACACATTGGGTGTTCATTAATTAGGGAATGGCTATATAAATTATGGTATGTGAATATAATGGAATATTATTATACCATAAGAAATGATGAATGTGAAAAATTCAGAGAAAAATGGGCTAGGGCTGGGCTATGAGGCAATATCATGCCAGTCCACACAGGTAATAACAAAGACCTCTCCTGAGGAGGTCACAGTGGGAAACAAGAGTAAAGATGTGAGAATATGGGGGTAAAATTGATAAGACAGGGAAACGTGTGTGTGTGTGTGTGTGTGTGTGTGTGTGTGTGTGTGTGTGTGTGTGTGAGAGAGAGAGAGAGAGAGAGAGAGACAACAGAGGGAAGAGCAAAAAGGACCCTAGAGGATGAGGACTGGAACATGGAGACCGGAATATGTCCAATAGATCTAGTGAAGTCATGTGCCCTGGAGGCAGCAGGTGCTAAGCTCACCTGAGATAACCTTGTCCTCCCTCCATTTGGCACCAAACAGCTCCAGCTGCCGCCTCTAGAGAATCCACCTGCAAAACCCAAAAGAGCCCCAACCCCCCTTCTCCCAGAATTACAGGGTGCCATATTCAGGAAGGCGTCTTCTTCCTTTCCTTAGCATGAAGACTACGCAAGTAATGTAGTCCCCACAAGTTGCTGCAGCCATTGTTGTCAATGACGCTTCACAGGACAGCTTGGCATCCGTGGAAAAGTCTTGCCCGTGGCCAGTCCAAACTCACACCCTCATCCAGGTCTTAGCCTTCCTGCACTTGCCTCTCAGAGCCTCGGTTCACCTCCTATTAACCCCACATGTCCCTCTCTACTAAGGTGACATTCTTGATCCTCCTAGGAACTGGGCTCCTCCAGCTGAAGTCTATTGAATCTAAGATTTCAATATTTTCTATATTCTATATGCTGCTGAGAAAGAAGGCAAAAGAGCAGAAATAAAGCAGGTATCCATCCATTGGAGAATAGCTAGACAAACTGTGGCATATGAATGTGAAGGAATATTGTATAGTAGCAAGTGACAGATGTGAAGAATTTCCAGATGTTTGTCCAGCCTTGGTCCCTTCTCTGGGTTCCAGTCCTACAATCATCACATGGCTATTGGACATTTCCCACTGGATGTCCCAGAGGCATCCCAAATGCAACATTTCCAAAAAAGCCTGTCAAACCCTACCCTCTTCCAAATGTCCCTGCTCATATCAAAGGCATCACCATCACTCTAATAGCCCTGTCTAGTCTAGTTCAAAACCTCAGTATTTTCCTCTATCCCCCAATCAGTTGCCAAATAGAGTCAATTCTGTCTTTTTATTTCAAATCAATATCGTTCATTTCACCCACATGGCCATGTCCTTAGTTCAGGCATTCCTCATCTCTCTTCCAGATCACACCATTCCCCTTTGAACAAGCTTCAGTGGATCCCCACTGCCTCTAGAACACATACAGACTCCACAGTTCACAGGCTACCCTCTTCTGCCTTTCCCCCCTTATTATAGAGTATCCCACTTCATCCACTGTGGTCCAGCCCAACTGGCCTTGGTGTTTCTCCCACAAGCCACCCTATCCTGCTCCTTTCTCCGTGCACTGGCTGAACCCCAAGCCTAGAATGTTGTCCTGCATCCCGTTCTGCCTCTCAGAATCCCAGCTGAACTCCAAGTTCAATTCCAGAACCACCTCACCCATGAAACCTTCCTCATGTTTCCCCCTCTCCACCTCCAAAGCTGCTGCCAACCCCAGACACTTCCTTTCTATTTACATTCTGCATATTTTGTATATAGGGTTTCCTCCAATAGACTGTAAGCTCCTGGAGGGCAGGGATTTATCAGTTTAGTCTTTGTATCCTCTGAGTCTAGCACAGTGCCTGGCATACAGTAGGGGCTTAACAGAAGCCTGTTGATTGATTTCAGAAAAACAAGAAAGGTTTGCTACAAACCAATGCAGAATGAAAACAGAACATACAAAGTGAATGCATTTATCATGAAAGGAATGTGGGCACCAAGTAAATGGAGAACTGCGGAACCAATGACGAGCATTCTGGGGGCCTTTCCTGGCAGGTTTGTCTCTTCTTGGTCAATCTAACAGGGCTGGATGAGATTCCTAACAGGGAGAGTACAGGGGAAAGAGAAGGTGGGGCAAAGGTAGAACCTTGGAGACTGTTCAACCTAAGGAATCATCAGAGGAAAGAAGACAGAGAAGGGTCAGGTAAAGACCCAGAATTAAGTGTGATGCATCTGAAGCTGGAGGAGAAAGTACAAAAGAGTACGAGGTGGTGAAAAGAGGTGACTGATTCACAGAGGGAAAAGAGGGAATTAAAACGACAAGAGGCCATTATGTTTGGTGAGTATGAGTCACTGATGACTTCCAGGGAAGCAGGCTCAGCAGAAGACGTGGCTTAGAAACAAGGGGTAAGTGGGCCAAGTGTGGCTTTTTTTTTTTAGCACTGGTGACATGTGACCTTGTTTGTAAGCAGCTTGGAAGGAGCCAATGGAAGAGATGATGGCTGGAATGTGGTCCTAGAGGGGGACTAGGTGAAGTGTGGAGGCAGGGAATTTTGGATTTGTGAGGAATCCTCTGTGCCCAGAATCCTGATTCTGAGAATACTGAGTAGAGTGAGAGCGCCAAGTTCTAATCAGATTGTCCCAATTTACTATAGTTAATGTAATTGTAATGGAATATTATTGTACGGTACAGATTAATTCTGAGGCAGTCAGGGAAACACAGGAAGCCTTGCATGAATCTGTGCAGAGCAAAAGAAGCAAGATGGAAATAATAGCACAACACAAGGATGACAACAATGGAAATGAAAAGATCACAAAAAGGAAGCTGCACTCTGAGAAGTGAAAAAACCAGTGAAGACCTAGGAGATCACGACACAGAACTTCTCTCAGCTGAAAGCTCATGGACTGTCTCAGGATACCTTACAGACTGTCGGATATGGTCCATATTTGTTTAATTGTTTGTTTTTTTCACAAAGAAGGGTTTCATCTAGAAAGAAGGAGAGGGAATTTACGATGACATAAAAACAAAAAGAATCAAAAAATACATTAAAAAATAAAATGAAAGTAGCCAAAAAAATGGAACAGGTAAAAAAAAAAGATAACCACAATTTTCTCAGTGAAGTCTACTCTCAATATGAGAAACAGGAGAAAGAAGTAGCTGGAAACTTGAGAGAGAAAAAGGTTTATGACAGCTACTAAGAAAACATAGGCAGGAATTTGCTTTATCTATAACTTTCCCCACTAAATTGAATTCTGCAAATATTGAGTACGCTCTAGATAAAATCCTTCTCACATTCATTATCTTCGTAAGGCTTCACCAATCAAAGGCTATACTCCAGCATGAATTATCTGAGGACAAATAAGTTCTGTTCTCTGGAAGTAAGGCCTTTTCACATTTTTTACAGATCTAAGGTTTCTCTCTAATGTGAACTGTCTGATGTGTAGTAAGTTCTGTTCTCTGGCAGAAGGCCTTCCCACATTCTTTACATTCATAGGGTTTCCTTCCATTGTGAATTCTCTGATGTCGAGAAAGTTGTGAACTATCACGGAAAGCCTTCCCACAGTCATGACATTCATAAGGTTTCTCTCCAGTATGAATTCTCTGATGTAGAGTAAGTTGTGAACTCTGGCTGAAAGCCTTCCCACAGTCAAAACATTCATAAGGTTTCTCTCCAGTGTGAATCCTCTGATGCAGAGTAAGCTGTGAGCTCCGGCTAAAAGATTTCCCACATTCAAAACATTCATAAGGTTTCTCTCCAGTATGAATTCTCTGATGTTGAGTAAGAATTGTGAAGCGACTAAAGGCCTTCCCACATTCAAAACATTCATAGGGTTTCTCTCCAGTGTGAATTCTCTGATGTCGAATAAGCTGTGAGCTCTCATGGAAGGCCTTCCCACATTCTTTACATTCATAAGGTTTGTCTCCATTATGAATTGCCTTATGCCTACTAAGTCCTGTACTCCAGCTGAAGGATTTCCCACATTCATTACATTCATAAGGCTTTTCTCCTGTATGGATTCTCTGATGTTGAGTAAGAATTGTGAAGCGACTGAAGGCCTTCCCACATTCGTTACATTCATAAGGTTTCTCTCCTGTATGAATTCTATGATGTAGAGTAAGTTGTGAGCTCTGGCTGAAAGCTTTCCCACATTCATTACATTTATAAGGCCTCTCTCCAGTATGAATTCTCTGGTGTTCAGTAAGTATTGTGAAACAACTGAAGGCCTTCCCACAGTCATTACATTCATAAGGCTTCACTCCAGTATGAACACTCTGATGTAGAGTAAGTTGTGAGCTCTGACTGAATGCCTTCCCACATTCTTTGCATTCATAAGGTTTCTCCCCAGTATGAATTCTCTGATGTAGAGTAAGTTGTGAGCTCTGACTGAAGGCTTTCCCACATTCTTTGCACTCATAAGGTTTCTCTCCAGTATGAATTCTCTGATGTACAGTAAGTTGTGACTTCTGGCTAAAAGCCTTTCCACATTCATTGCATTCATAAGGTTTTTCTCCAGTATGAATTCTCTGATGTCGTGTAAGTTGTGAGCTCCCATGGTAGGCCTTCCCACACTCAAAGCATTCATAAGGTTTTTCCCCAGTGTGAATTCTTTGATGTCGGGTAAGGTCTATGATCTGGGTGAAGGCCTTTCCACATTCCTTACATTCATAAGGTTTTTCTCCAGTATGAATTCTTTGATGTCGGGTAAGATCTGTGACTCGGGTAAAAGCCTTCCCACATTCACTACATTCATAAGGTCTCTCTCCAGTATGAGTTGTCTGATGTTGAATAAGTCCTGTGGTCCGTCTAAAGGCCTTCCCACATATCTTACATTCATAAGGTTTCTCTCCAGTATGAATTCTCATATGTTCAATAAGTTGTGAGCGCTGGCGAAAGGGCTTCCCACATTCAGTACATTTACGGGGTTTCTCTCCAGTGTGAATTCTGTAATGGGAAGTAATAAATGAACTGGAGTTAAAAAGCTTTCTCATTCACTACACTGGGGAGATTTCTCTTAAGTATGTATAGTACAATAACCAATAGGATCTAAACACAACTCACCCTAACTTAGAAAATAACTTCACTGAGTCTCTGCATCTGAAACTCTTTTATCTGGGTATCCCATATATCTTTCCCACAGAGACTCTTCCTTGTGGAAAAAGACTGACCCTCCATGGAAGCTTCTACCAGACTTAGTGCTTTCATGGCCTCTCACTTTAATGGCACTTTTCCTCAGGGTGTTTTTTACTTGCCTAGAATGTTTTTCCACATTTCTCTGCCACCTCTTTAACTGGGAGTCACATTCTGAGGTTTCTCCCAACTTGAAGACATAGGGAAGTTCCTTTGTCAGTGTTTCCAACGACGATTCCTCCACCAAAATGGCAATCTTTGAAGTTGGCTCCTTGGTTTCAGATGCTACCTCCAAGTCTGAAAGAAATAAAATGAGTCAAGAACCCTGCTTCTCTGAGAAACCATGTCTGCATAGTCTTTTGGAATTTACCAAAAACTTTCACACTCATTATCCTTTGCCAAATGAGGAAAGTGAGGTTTAGAATGATTTGCTGACCTGCCAAAGGTCACAATGCCAATGTCAAAGCTGAGTCCAGGGAACTGGACTTTGGCCCTTAAGCTCCATACACTTCTCATTAGAGTACACTGCCCCTCTCCACAAAGCAGCGTATTTATCCTGTGTTTCTGTGAAATGCAGAGGTAGGATCAAAGAGTGGAAACTACAGGGGAACCCCTTTCGGCTTAATCGAAGGACCTGTATTCCAACAATAAGTCCTGTTCATTCTATGGGCTGGACAAGATCTGAGACCATTTAGTCCAGGGATTCTTAACCATGTAGAGTCCATGGAGTCAAGGAAGAATATGACATCTTTGTTTTCAGTAAGCTCTAAACCAGACTTAGCATTTCCTTCAGTTATTAAAAAAAAACTAAACAACTATCTCAGGATATGTTCATGGGCTTCACTAAGCTACCCAAGGGGTCTAGGATACAAAAAAAAAAGTCTTCAAAGTCCCTGACCCAGCCAGTGCCCTCACTGCTCAAATGAGGAAACCAAGTTCAAGGGGGGGCTAAATGACCTGCTGAAGGTCATGGGACTCAAACTTGGGAAGAGTAACTTCCCTCCCATTGGGAGGCAAGAATCTGGAAATACGTGAGCAGAGGTTGGACGGCCGTCGGTTCAAGGGAACATTACAAGGATTCTTGCACAGGATGTGAGGTGACATGGGGCTGTTCCTCAGTGTCCTTCTGATTTCAAATCTCTAAGACTTCAAACCCTCCTTATTCCTCATAAAGGCAAAGCTAAGGGTTAGAATGACAGGAGTAATAAGGGGCTTAGTTAGCTCTTTTTCTCCCTTGCCTCCAGGCCCCAGTTGCCTCCAGGCTCTTTTCTGAGCCAAACTCCCACCTGCTCTCTGCACTCAGTCAGTCAATAAACATTTATTAAGCACCATCGTGTGCCAGGCGCCATGGTAAGCAATGGGGATACAAATGTAACTGAAAAGACAGTTTCTGCTCTCAAACAGCTGAAGAAGGTGAAAAGAGGGTTAGGAAGAGGGGGAGATGGAGGAGGGGGAAAGGAGAGTAAAGGCTGGTCCCAGTGGAAGGGCCCAGTAGACCAGGTCTGCAGCCAGGAGGGCAGCCTGCAGAGGAGTGGGCCAGGCTCGCCCACACAACGCACGCCCCAATGCACTAAGATAACTGGTGGACTTCACTGAAAGAAGATAGAGAATGGGGTCGTTGCCACTGAACCTGAGGCAGAAACCATGCGGATATTCAAAGACAGGAAGAGGGTGAAATTTACAGCAAGACCATCAAACCTGCATTCAATCTTTTTTTTTAATATAAATTTATTTCTTTTTAGTTTTCAATATTCACTTCCACAAGTTTTTGAGTTCCAAATTTCTCACCCCTCCCCCCACCCCAAGATGGCATGCATTCTGAATACCCCTTCCCCTGGTCTGCCTTCTCTTCTATCTCTCCCCCCTCCCTTCTCTTATCCCCTTCCCCTTCTATTTTCCTGTAGAGCAGGACAGACTTCTGTACCCCATTTCCTGTATTTCTTATTTCCCAGTTGCATGTGAAAACATTTTTTTTAAAACATGTGTTTTTAAAACTTTGAGTTCCAAATTTTCTCCCTTCCTCCCTCCCCACCCACCCTCATTGAAAAGGCAAGCAACTCAATATAGGTTGTACATGTGCAGTTATGCAAAACACTTCCTTAGTAGACATGTTGTGAAAAACTAACTCTATTTCCCTTAATCCTATCCTGCCCTCCCATTTATTCTATTCTTTCTTTTGACCCTGTCCCTCCTCAGAAGTATTTGCTTCTGATTACCCTCTTTCCCAATCTGCCCTCCTCTCTATCACCCCCTGCTCTCTTGTCCCCTTCTCCCCCTATTTTCCTGTAGGGTAAGACAGATTTCCATACCCAATTGAATGTGTATGTTATTCTCTCCTTAAGCCAAATCCTATGAGAATAAGATTCCCTCATTCCCTCTCACCTTCCCCTGTTTCCCCTCCACTGTGAGAGACTTTTCTTTTGTTTTTTTTTTTTGTGAGATAATTTACCCCATTCTACCTCTCCCTTTCTTCTCTGAGTATCATCCTCTCTCATCCCTTAATTTTATTCTCCAGATATGACCCCTTAATCTTCAACTCACCCTGTGCCCTCTATCTATATATACATACATACATTTTTTTTTCCTTCAACTACCCTAATACTGACAAAGTTCTCATGAGTTACAAATATCATCTTTCCATGCAGGAATGTAAACAGTTCAATCTTAATAAGTCTCTTATGATTTCTCTTTCCTGTTTACCTCTTCATGTTCCACTGGAGTCCTGTATTTGAAAGTCAAATTTTCTGTTTAGCTCTGGTCTTTTCATCAGGAATGCTTGAAAGTCCTCTATTTCACTGAATGACCATTTTTTCCCCTGAAGGATTATACTCAGTTTTGCTGGGTAGGTGATTCTTGGTTGTAATCCTATCTCCTTTGCCCTCCGGAATATTATATTCCATGCCCTGCGGTCCTTTAATGTAGAAGCTGCTAAATCTTGTGTTATCCTGATTGTGTTTCCACAGTACTTGAATTGTTTCCTTCTGGCAGCTTGTAATATTTTCTCCTTGACCTGGGAACTCTGGAATTTGGCTACAATATTCCTAGGAGTTTTCCTTTGGGGATCTCTTTCAGGAGGAGATCTGTGGATTCTTTCAATTTCTATTTTGCCCTCTGGTTCTAAAATATCAGGGCAGTTTTCCTTGATAATTTCTTGAAAGATGATGTCTAGGCTCTTTTTTTGATCATGGCTTTCAGATAGTCCAATAATTTTTAAATTCTCTCTCCTGGATCTATTTTCCAGGTCAGTTGTTTTTCCAATGAGATATTTCACATTGTTTTCTAATTTTTCATTCTTTTGGATTTGTTTTACAGTGTCTTGATTTCTCATAAAGTCACTGTTTTCCAATTGCTCTATTCTAATTTTTAAGGAAGTATTTTCTTCAGTAATCTTTTGGACTTCCTTTTCCATTTGGCCAATTTTTTCTCTCATTGGCTTTTTGGACCTCTTTTGCCATTTGGGTTAGGCTGTTTTTAAGGTGTTATTTTCTTCAGTATTTTTTTGGGTCTCCTTTAGCAAGCTGTTGACTTGTTTTTCATGATTTTCTTGCATCACTCTCATTTCTCTTCCCAGTTTTTCCTCTACTTCCCTTACTTGCTTCTCAAAATCCCTTTTGAGCTCTTCCAAGGCCTGGGACTGATTCATATTTTTCTTGGAGGCTTTGGATGTAGGAGCTTTGACTTTGTTGTCTTCTTCTGGTTGTATATTTTGATCTTCTTTTTCACCAAAGTAAGATAATATAGTCTGACTCTTTTTGTGCTGCTTGCTCATGATCCCAGCCAATTACTTGAGTTTTAAACTCTTTTAAGGTAAGAGTCTGCTTCCAATGTGGAGAGTGTACTGTCCCAAGCTTCAGGGGTTTGTGTAGCTGTTTTCAGAGATACTTGTAGGGACCTGTAAATTTTCAGTTCTTCCAAGGTGGTATGATAAGGGGCGAGATGTTTACTCCTTTCCTGGCCTGTGATCACAAGTATTCCTTTCTGTCCCGTAACTGTGAGGAGGGGTTCCTCTCCACGGCCACTACAAGCTCCACCACGCCAGCACTCCTCCTCAACCCAGCACTGCCGCCCAGAACTGTGACCTAGATCCACACACGGGCAAAGCAAGAGATTCCTGCCTCAGCACTGGCAAAGAGATCCCTGCAATCCCTCTCTGATCAGCCACTGGATTCCCCCTCAGTCTGTGGGCCGGAAGCTCGGAAGCAGCTGCCCCCAGGGCCAGCTCTTGGGGAATGGAGCTGACCCCGCCTTCCTCTCTGACCGACAGAAACAGACTTTTCCCACTGACCTTCTAAGTTGTCTTTGGCATTTGTGGATTGAGGAGTCTGGAAATCTCCACAGCTGCCCGCGATTCAGTCCTCTGAGGCCTGCTCCAGGTTTGCTGCGGCCTGCGCGCCCACGCTGCGCTGCACTGCGCTCCCAGCCCGCATGATACACCTTTCTGATCAATCATCCAGGTTGTCTTGGCCTGGAAATTTGTTTCACTCTGTCTTTTTGTGGGTTCTGCTGCTTCAGAATTTGTTTAGAGCCATTTTTTATGAGTATTTGGAGGGGTTTGGGGGAGAGCTCAAGCAAGACACTGCTTTCACTCTGCCATCTTGGCTCCGCTCCCCCTGCATTCAATCTCTGGGGACAACTAGAATGTATTTTTGAAGGGAAGGTTACTGAACACCTAGACAAGAAAGTCAGCATTTTTCCTTTAAAAACACAAAACATGACAAAACATGGGAGCATTCATGTTAGAAGACATATGAGGAAAGAGGGCACATTAATGCATCATTGGGGTTGGCAGCTGAGCCAACCATTCTGGAAAGCAGCATGGAACTAAGCTAAGTGACTAAAATATCCAGACTCCTTGGCAGCAAGGCGGCTCCGTAGGTAGAGCACTAGGCCTGGAGGAACAAAGACGCAAGTTCAAATCCAGCCTCAGACACTTCCTAGCTGTGTGATCCTGGGGAAGTCACTCAACATCTGCCTCATTTTCCTCAACTGTAAAACAGGGATGATCATAACAGCACCTTGCACCCAGGGTTGTTGTGAGGATCAAATGAGTTAATATTTGTAAACCTACAGCCTCCAGTGTGCAGAAACAAATGCCCAAAGTTAGGCCACAAACAGAAGGAAGCAGAGGTCCTGACCCAGACTGCTCCTCATGAAAATGACAGAGGTTTGGGACTGTGGAATGAAGCCCGTTAATGGAAGGACTATACACAGGTCTACCCAAAAGAAACAGGGTACATAAGAAGCACTGTATATGAAGAAGTTATACAAGTATACAATGATTTTTGTTGTTGGGTCATTTTTTCAGGCAGCAGCCCATGCAATGATTACAACAGAAATGGAAAGAAGTGGCACCACAAAACAATGAGAACAGAATGCTGCAAGAATGACTAACTGAACAAAAAAGCATTTATTAAGCACCAAGTGTGTACCAAGTGCTTCCCTGAGCACTGGAAGTTCACAAGGAGCTCCAAAGGAGTTCCCACTCTAACGAGGTTTCTCTCAGGGGATCTTGCAGGCAAGAACATGAGAGCTATGGACAGTGAATGGCAAGATCAGCAGAGAGGGAGCGATAGAGCAGATCAGGGAATGGGTAAGCTGGGTAACTGAGGGGTCATTGTTCACCACAGAAATGGAATTCATCAAGTGCAAGGGCAGGCTTGGGGTGAAGGCGGCCTGACTGTGGATCAGACACTAAATTCCTTGGGTAGTGACAGAGAATGACCCAAGGGTGGGCAAAGAGTGGTCCCCAGGAACAGGCTCGGGGGAAGACTCAGAAAGGAGTGACAGGGAGGGCAGGCAAGAAGCAGCCGACTTCTCTGGGGCTAAGGTATCGCACAGGGGGCCAGGCTTCCTTGGTTGAATCTGGATGCCTGGGAGAAAGGCTGACTGCCAAGAATGACTTGTTAGTAGAAGAGGACAGGCCTCCGGACTTTACAGACAGCAGTCAGGCTGGCCCAGGCCTTCTCATACCCAACCAGCCATTGTCCCATTAACGAGTCCCGGAGGTGGGAGGGACCCACTCTTTGCTCTGCTGACGTCCTCCTTAGGGTGCCCTTCCTAAACTGCGGGAACCAAAGCTGTGTTCAGGCCACGGCAGACATCAGAGGGAGGGCTTGCTCACTGCAGGAAGCTGTGCCTCAAAGGCAGGGTCTAGGTAGCTTTCGGAGCTCCTCCTACGAGGGGCACTGGTGTGCATGCCCAGGGCTTCTCCGGACCAGCGGCCGTCTAATCATGGCGCCTCCATGTATGAGACCTGATGTTTCTCCCTTTGTGATTTCACCTTCTAATTCTCTGAACTGTCAAAATGGCTTCTGGTCTTCAAGCTGTCACCCAGTAGGCCTGCAATCTCTCTTGGATCATCTGCAAATCTCATTAAGTCCTTTGCTTCTTGTCCAAGGCCTGGTCACCAACAATACACAGTACCAATACTGGGGCAGTGTGATGGAAACCTCGGTCCAAGGCAACACCCACCCACCAAGGACTGCTCCTGTCATCTGGCCCTCTGATGGCTTCAGAATACATCCAACTGTCCTGTCCTCCAGCACATGGCACGAGAGACATGACAGGGATGTTTGTGAACACTCAGATGAACTAGGTGGGTCCTCCCCAGGGGCGTTGTAGCCCAGCAGGGGCCAAGGGAGTCGGGCTTTGGTCACTCCCGGTCTTGGCCCATCTTCAACCTCTCCCTGCCCACTGGCTCCTTCCCCACAGCCTTAAACATGCCCACATCTCCCGACCCCGCCATCCCCTCAAACTACCATGCCACGCCTCTCCTCCCTTTATGAACCGAATTCTTTGTCTACACCGTCTATGCTCCTGCCTCATCTGCTCTCTTCTCACTCACTACTCAGCCTGTTGCAGACTGGCCTCTGATCGCATCATTTGACTGGAACCATTCTCTCCAAAATGGCCAACTGTTGTGGGCCTGGAACTAGGGAAGCATAAATTAGCTCCTCAGTCCTCCCAGAGCATCAGCCAGTGATGCAGACTCGAGGCAGGTGGGGATAACTGACCCCACATGGACTGATCTGGGACCCTCCCGTAGGCCCCTTGGGCAAGGGAGAGATGGTTATTAAGACTCTGGGCCAGGAGCTCTTGGGATCCCTGGGAACCTCTTTGAAAAGGACCCTGCGTTTCCTTGGTCAGGGAAGCCCAGAGGCAGAAGCCTAGATGAGGAAGAGCACTCCAGGCATGGGGACAATGGAGAAAATGTGGGGAGTCAGGGGATGGAGCAGACAGGAGGCGGTGTCACTGACTGGAAGAGCTCATATCAGTGGGTGAGGTCTAGGAGAACTGGAGAGGTCGGAGGGGGCTGGCTTCTCAAGGCTTTGAACACCAAACACAGGGTTGGCTCTTTGATCCTGGAGTCGATAAGGGAGTGATGAAGTCTACTGATGAGGTGGAGGAGTTATGAGGTCAGACCTGCACTACTGGCAGGTGAGTGGAGGATGAACTGGAAGGGGAGATGTGCGGCAGGCAGACCCCTCCACCCCACCCAGCAGCTGCTGCAGCAGCCGAGGTGCAAGGTGATGAGGTCTGCCCCAGGGAGGTGGCAGTGTCAGAGAATAGATGAGAGATGTCGAAAAGGTAGGAACGACAAGACTTGGTACAGAGAGGTCGATTGGTGGAACTGAGTACCTAGTACACAAAAGCAAATTATCTAGTTCTCCAGATCAGATAAACAGAATACCCATCGACTGGGGTAAGCACTGGCTATTTGGCAAAAGCAGCTGGGAAAACAGGATAGCAGCCAAAGAAATCAGATCTGACCAACGTTTCACACCATAAACCAAAATGAGCTGCAAAGGAATATGTGACCAACGTGTAAACTGCCATGTCACAAACAAACTAGAGGCACATGGAAAAAACCATCAGACACAGACCTGAAAAGTTCATGACCAGACAAGGAACAGCAAAGAAGACAAAGCATGTGCACAAACGAATCCCATTAACAGGGGGAAGTTTCTCTGATGAAGGTTGGTCTCCAAACACGTGTAAGCATCTGGTTCAGGATGTGGCGGACAGAGTACTAGCCCAGAGCTGAGGACCTGAGTTCAAATTTGGCCTCAGACACGGCCTCGCGACTTGACCCTGGCCCAGCCATTTAGCCTGCTGGAGGAGCCACGCGTGGGCGCCACCATTCTGCAAAACTACATGGCGTGACACACAAGAAGGGACCGAGCAGTGCATGCCCCTCGGCCTAGCTGGGCCACTGCTACCTGTGCCCAAAATGGCCCAAGGAACAAGGAGAAGGTCTCCTGTGAACAAAAATACGACGGCAGCTCTTCTGAGGGCGAGGTCCCTGCACTGGCCTTCGCCGCGTGCTCTCCACCAAGAATGACCCACTGCCTCCCAGGTTTCTTCACGTGTACTGTTGTTGTGAGGTCATTTTTCAGTCGTGTCCAACTCTTCCTGACCCCATTTGGGATTTTCTAGGCAAAGATACTGGAGGTGTTTGTCATTTTATTCTCTGGTTCATTTTACAGACACGGAAACTGAGGCAAACAGGGTGAAGTGACTAGCCCAGGGTCACACAGCTAGTAAGTGCCTGAGGCTGGATTTGAACTCAGGAGATGAGTCTTCCTGACTCCAGGCTTGGCGCTGTGTGCACTGTGGCGCCCCCTGGTGGCCCCATCTCTAACTGTGCCCTCTTAATATACAAAGCAGCCCCATCTTCCCCTTTGACTTATCGGGTTTTGTGGGAATCAGGCACACACCCCCAGAGCCACACTCCCATCATGATCTCGCCCCTCCATCCTCAGTGATGCCCTCCAGGCCATCTGGCTTCTGGTGCTGCCCACAATCGGGGAATCTGCGTCCTGGCAACCGCGGCCACTGGCCTCGCCAATGACTCCTCTCTTGGGGCCACGGGGCATCTCCAGCCTGCTGGACACGTCCCAGCGTTGTCCCCTGTCGGATGCTCCCTCCACTCCATTCTCACCTGAATCCCTAGGAATCCCCTGAAGTGGCTGGGTGTATGCAAATCTGCTCGTGTAACACTAAAAACTGAGTAAAAGGTAGTCATCAGTTCTCACCCAATGGAAACACACAGGGCAACTGAATAATTTGTCCATGTCTGGAGAATTCCTCATTCACTTCTGTCCACATCGTTCTCCAGCTTCTTCTGACACAGCCCCTCCGTCCTCCTCCTCCTCCTGGGGCCACAAGGAGAAAACCGTGACTGCAGACAGCCTGGGCTAAGCATCTCCATGCCTTTGGACCAGACAGGCCTCCGAGGCTGTTCCTCAAAAACGCTCCAACACCCCTTAGAGCTTTGAGGAGAACGGCAAAGTGCTACAGATGGCCCAGGGACTGACAGCGAGTGCGGACCTGCACACGTGTGTGTACATATACACACACACTCACGCACACAGAGGTGGCTGCATCCGCACAGCCATGATAGCACAGCTGTCTCTGAGGCAGACAGACAAGGGAAGAGGAGGCTTCCGAGGGCCGGACAGACCTGTGGAGCTCAGGGCAGCTGCCCGGCCAAGCCTGTGAGCATTCTCCCCATGAATGACAGATCCACCGAGCTACTGATGGCTCAAAGGACGGCTCACCTGCACTTGGCATCTGGGGGACATCCCCCCCTGGCATCCAAGGGGCTTCTCCTCTCTCCAGCTGGCAGATCACCTCTGGCTTGGAAAGGGCCAGGCCTGTTCATGGAAAAGATCTGCCATCAGAGAGTCCCCAAAGAGCTCCAACCCAGCCCCTTGGGAATGCCTCAGGACCCCCAAAGGTGCTCCAGGTCTGGTGCCTGGAAGGGGTTCATGGGGCAGGGCCTTGATGGGTTCAGGTGCCTGGGTGAGAACCTTGGAGTGGGGGAGGGGCAAGCAAATGCCAGATGCAGGCAGCCACACCCCTCACCTGGGAACAGGTGGCCAGGTGAGCCAGGAAAGGAGGGGCAATCTGGGGGGCCAGACCCTTCCCCCCAGCTCATTCTAAGAGAGGGCAGATCCTGGGGGGCAGGGACCCTCACCCAGGCAGGCCAAGTGCCCAAAGTTCTCCAGCATCACCTCCCGGTACAGCTCCTTCTGGGGAGTGGCCAGGCGCCCCCACTCCTCGGGGGTGAAGGTCACTGCCACGTCCTGGAAGGTCACAGAGCCCTGGAAGACCAAGCACACACCAGCTGAGGTGGGTCCTCGGGTGACCTCAGGGGTTCCCCCCAGGCACTGTCCATCCCTCTGTCCGTCCGTCAGTCTGTCCAGGAGGTCTGTGCTGAATCCGGCAAATCCCAAAAACAAGGACCTCAGAGCCAGCCCGTGGGCACACCCCCATTTCACAGACGGGAGACTGAGCCCAGCCACAGCTGAACCCAACGCTGCAGTTGCCTACGAGCCTCGAAGTCTACAGCGCAACCACGTGGCGCCCCAAGGGGAGGCGGGGCTGGAGGCCGGCACCCAAGGCGCCCCCTGCTGGCCGGCTCACTCACCTCGGGCCCGGGGGCCATGCCTCCCTCCTCTCCAGGAGAGTAGAGCTGGGTACTCCAGGGGAGTAGAGCTGGGTACTCCAGGGGCGGGGCTGGGGAGGGAAAGAAAACTGTGAGCACATGTAGGTATGGGGGTGTGGCCCCGGGCAGCCACGCCCCATACACGTCCTCAGGGATAGAGCCCTTGGGCGGTAAGCGAGAAATCTGCGCATGAGCAACCAGCCTCCGGCCCCGACCCTGACAACCAGCGGCAGGGGCGGCCGTGCCGCTGATTGGTTTCCTAGCCTCACACCCTTTCTACCGAACCAATCAACACGTCCGCTTCCTTTGTCTTCTCCCCCCATTCCCCGGAGAATCCCGCCCCCCGCCTCCTCCTGCCTCAGCTCGGCCCCCAGCTCTCGCTCACCCGGCCCCGGACTTGGGGTTCGGACCCCGGCGACGGTGGTAGCTGAAGGAACGGAATTGAGGCGGCCACGAGCCTGCGCCCAGGACGGAGGGGCGGAAGTTACGTGTATACGGGCAGGGAGTGTTCCGGCACCGGAACCGCACCGGAAGGCCGGCAGCCGCGCTCTCAAGGCCTTCTGGGAAATGTAGTCCAGAGGCTCAGAGGGCAGGAGTGGGGCGAGCTGCTGGGCTCTGGACCTCCGCTCGCGCGGGGACACCCCCCCCCCCACTCAAGGGAGAGGAGCAGGAACGGGAAGGAATGGGAACGAGCTCCTTCGAGCGCCGCCCACCCACTCCCTCGGAGGTGGGGCTCCTTGCTGGGGAGGGGCCCGCCTCTGGCTCACACAAGCCCTGCACACAGCAGGAGCCTAAGCAGTGCTTGCTGGCTCTGACTTCCCAGCGAACCTGGACGGAAAGCGGCGCTTCCTGCAATGCCCGGGGGCCGAGGCGTGGCCAGCAAGCATTGAGTAAGCGCCTGCTGTGTGCCGAGCTCCGCCGCCCCGGGTAGGCTCCGGAGGTTCGCCAAGGCTGCTTGGCTGACCGTGAGGGGAGGCGGCCTTTGGTACCGAGCGAACTTTTCCTAGAACCCCGCGGGAGCGGCAGGGATCTTCAAGCGTCATTTACGCTCATCACTCTTTGGAGCTGCGACAGCAATCAGACCCTCAGCCAGGGCTACACAGGTCTTCCTTCTACTCTAGCCACGCTCTCCCCTTTTGCCCATCTTGACGCCTGGAGGGGCCAGTTCGGCCCTACAGTGTCCTCTTGAGTCCCTTGCCCCCGGTCCTATGTAAGGTCGAGTCCTGCAAAGGCTCAGCCCGGGAGCGCTCCCACCGCGGGGAGCCGAGGGGGAGAAATTCACACAAGTGATCCATTGCAGATCACCCCCAGTCCTGCTCGGCGTCCTCCCCTGCCCCTCATCTCAGAGCCTTGCCTTGTGCGTCACTAAAAACTCTGCCCGGTCTAGGGGAGCTCCCTCTCTTCCCCCCTTCCCCATCTCACCCCATCTCACAGGATAGCCTCGGTCCCTGGCTCCTCCATCAGCCACCTCAAGAGGAAAGGAGGCAGTCCTCCTGGCCAAGCAAACCCCTCTACCTGCAAACGCCACCCCATTCCGCCCACCTCTCACCTGTCTTCACTCCCCCGGACTTGCCATCCAGGAGTCCTCACTTGTTCCTTCCATCCCTGCTTTCATCCCTTATTTCTTCTGCCTTTTCTGACTAAACCCCATGAAAAGGTCACCCGTTGTGGGTACCTCCACTTGCTTTCCTCTCACTCTCTGGATTCTCTGTCATCTGGCTTCCGACCTTCTTATCCAACCCAAACTGCCCTCTCCAACGGCCAAATCCTCTTTTCTCAGTCGTCATCCTTCTTGACCTCTCTGCAGCCTCAAACACTGCCCACTCCCCTCCTCTTGATAGTCATGTCCAGCTAAGTTTTTGAGACAACTCTCTCCTGGTTCTCCTTCCTACCTGAAAGCTCCTTCTCATTCTCCTTTGCTGGATCTCCATCTAGGCCACACCCTCTAACCACAGGGTCCCTCAGGGTTCATCCTAGACCCTCTTCTCTTCTTCCTTTATGCTGCTTCACTTGGGGATCTCATCCGCTTCCATGGGTTTAATGATCATGCCTGTGCCAATGATTCTCATATCTACCTTTCCTGCTCCAACTCTGCTGACCTCCAGTCTTGCATCTCCAACTGCCTTTCAAACATCTTGAACTGGACATCCAGTAAACCTCTTAAACTAAACAAGTCCAAAACACAATTCATTATCTTTCCCCCTAACTACCTCCCTTTCCCTATTAGAGAAGATGGCAATACCATCGTCCCAGTGCCCAAGACTCACAACCTAGAAGTTATCCTGGACTCCTCACTATCTCTCACTCCTCATATCCAATATGGTGCCAAGGCTATTGATTTCACCTTTATATCATTTGTTGAATACTACCCCCACATCTCTTCTGAGATACTGCCCCTACTGTGGGGCAGACCTTCATCACCTCACACCTGGACTGTTGCAATAGCTGCCTGCCTCAGTCTCTCCCCACTCCAACCCATCCTCCATTGAGCCACTAAAGAGATTTTCCTAAAGCACAGGTCTGACCATGTCCACTGTCCTACTCAGTAAACTCTGGTGGTTCCCTATCAATTATTGTGACCAGCAGTTCCAGAGGATTGCTGATGAGGCATGCTAACTGCTACCTCTTGACAAAGTGGATGGATTCTGGGAACAGAATGAGACATGAAAAGGTTTTTAGACATGGCCAACATGAGAACTTGTCTTGCTTGACTAAATATTCTTTTTAAAAGGATTTTTTTTCCAATGGCAAGGTGTGGGTGGGAGGGAGAGTGTGATAATTTTGGTTTTAAGAAATAAATGTCATGATGTTGCAGTTATAAATGATAGGACTTCAACATTTAGTCATTTAGGCTAAGTAGTCCTAATGACCTCCTAAATCATTCTGACCACGTCCATCACTTAAATGATTGTAGCTCTAGATTGGATGGGACAACTGAAATAGCTTTGAGCCAACATTCAATCCTGGGGTCTCCAATTGCCAATTCAAATGCACAGCCAATTTCTGGTCCTGATAAGCAAATCCCCTTCAAGTCTGGTATCATATTGTGTTTGTTTGAGTAAATATCCTAATCTAATACAATTTCCTGGGACTAAAAAAAATCTTGACACTTGTCTAAAATTTGGAAGGGAAAATTTTGAGCTGCTTAGGTGGAAACTTTACTGAATTCACTGTAATGGTAGTGTTTTAAGATTATACTTTGGAGGCTTGTGGGTACTGAAGGGTCATTTGTTATCTGGAGTTTGCCAATTTTTAATATTGTTCTTTTTAATATAAATTTGAAATTCATAAAGTATTTCTTGTGAGAAATGATTCATTTGGACCCCTACTGGGTCCAGTGTTGAGATATAGATCAGGACAACTGGAGATGGCCCAGGATGCAGCAGGAGACCTTGGCTTTTTTAAGCTAAGGTCGTTAACAGGTCTCATTTTGACTGAGGCAACTCCCAATCAGTGATTAAGGTTAGGTAAGAAATGAGGCAGAGAATGGCCTCTTTGACCTAGTCCCAGCCTCCAACCAACACCCACTTCCCTCAGGCTTCACTTGGATTTTTTTTTTTTCATTCTGTTCCCTCAAGGGTCCTTGAGTCTGAGGGGCAGGACACTTTTCGGGACTTGGGGATTTGGTTTCCCTGTCCAGTTGCCTGACTTATCAATTTAATTTTTCAACTTACTTTCAACAACTTGCATCTTTGCACTAACAAGCCAGAAAGCCAAATATGGGCAGAGAAATTCTATTTTTGTTTATTGGGAAACTAAAGTATAGCTTAAAAATTAAATAGATTTCTTTTGCACTCCCATGTATTTTCTTTTTACACATTTACAAACAACCCTCTGAGGATGGCTGTAAAGGCTTTGCCAAACTGCCAGAGAGGTTCAGAAACCAATAAGAACCCCTGCTGTATGTCAGGTACGGGGAGGGGAACAATGAGGCTGTCAAGGTCGACTGGTCTTATCATTGAGGGATTTAAAGGCTAAACAGGCTCCTGGATTGGGCCTTCAAGGTGATAAGGAGCATGTAGGAGTGCCTGCTCAGACCAGAACTTCAAGAATAGATGGAGATGTAATGGAGACAGGGACAGCCATGAGGAGATGAGGGGAATTAGGCCACAGAGGTGCCTAGGGCTGGCACAAGAGTAGTGGCCCTCATACAGGTGGAGAGAGGAGTGCATGGCCGCAGGAGAGCTGGGTGAGGCAGGACTGACCAGATCTGGCACTTGGGGGCTTAGACAGAGGGAGAGCTGTGGGTTGGGACCCCTCGAGATTGGAATGATGGCAGCATCTTTGACAGAAATAGCTGAGCTCAGAAGAAGTGAGAGGTGGGAGCAAGTTAACATCTAGAGATGACTGCAATGACAAAAGGCAGGAATAACGCTTTTGTAGAGGCATGTTAGAGGTTTATATGCTGCCCATCCTTTAATGGTTTCAGAGGGTGCAGTGTTCACACCAAATGGCAACATTTAATGCAGAAAAGACACTGAAGGCCATCAGTCTTGGATGTGAAAAAAGTCTGGATCATGGATTAATTCTATTGAACCATTGATACTTTGACTCAATGTAACATTAAGTATTTTTAAAAATGCTTGCTGTGTGCCAGCGCACACCAAAACAGTCCCTACCCAGACGGAGCTAACATTCAAATGTGGGAGACATGAGTACAACATAAATACCAAATTGATGGGAGACAGCCATAGAGGGGAACGTGCTGGGGCTGGGGGACCAAGAATGGCCCTTTAGTGGATCCTTAAAGGAAATCGGGGTAAGAGTCAGGGGATGGTAGGCAAAGCCTTCCCAGCCTGAGAAGAAGGCAGTTTAAGGTGTGGGGACAAAAGATACTGTGTTTAAGGAACAGCAAGTAGTGCTTCGAGGGGAGTCAAGTATAAGAAGATCAGAAAGGCAGGAAGGAGTCAGGTTGTGGAGAACTGTAAAGGTCAAACGGAGGACTTTACATCTGGTCTCAGAGGAAATGGGGACTCACTAGGGAGCAGATACTCCCCAGTATCCCTAGTCGATCCTCACACCTGTGCTTTGGTGGGTGTGGAGGGTGGACTGGTATAGAGACCTGGGATGATGCAACAAAATACAAGACTGTTGCAATAATCCAGGAGGAAGGTGAGGAGGACCTGAACAAGATGGTGGCCAAAGGGGACAAATACCAGAGTTGTGGAGAAAGAAATGCCAAGTTTGGCAAGGTAGGAGACAAGGAATGATGCCAGACTGCAAGCCTAGGTGTCCTCCGTGGCAATGGAGATGTCTGGAAGACGGCAGACGTCCACGTAAGGAGGGTGGGTACCAGGGCAGGGGCATACTTGGACTAGTGGGACCAAGAAACCTCTTTACTGCCATAACAGTCACCACCACATTTCTATGCCTTCTCCCCCAACACCAATGAGATAAAAATAATGAAAAATCCTTAGATGTTCTGAATCTAGAGGTCATTGTAAAAAGGGAAAGGGGCCCAGCCCAACGGCTGCTTGAGGTCACCCTGTGCCTAAAGCAGGCTAGTTACCCAAACAGGGCTGAGGGAGATT